GACAGGGGGTCCTGAGTGGCTCAGTCAGCTGAGCGTCCGACTTCGGCTCAGGTCACCGTCTCAGGGCTCCTGAGTTGAGCCCCGCGTCGGGCTCTGTGCTGACAGCTCAGGGCCTGGAGCCTGCTTTGGATTCTGTAGCTCTCTCTCTTTCTCAAAGAAACATTAAAAAATAATACTACTAAAAAGAAACTGAGACAAAGATGACCAGGGAACTGGTCCTTGCCTGTGAGTCCCCTTCTTGACCCACAATTTCCAGGCCCAAGAGTTTCCCAGGTGAAATACACAGAAGGTGAGAGCAGGCAAAAACCCCCTTTCTTATTGGCCGAGATCAGTTCAGGCCACCGCGGAGCTGCACCGGAGGGCATTGTAGTGAGGCAACCCTTGTGCCCAAGGAAGACAGACCCGAGGAACTTTCTTTATTTGCCCTCGACCGCTGGTTCCAAAACTAGCTTTTCCTTGGAGAAACCCGACTGCCTTGTAAAATATAAATTCCCAGGCCCTGCTCCTCCAATTAATCACATTTCTGGAATGAGGTCTGGGAATGTATCAAATATCCTTAAGTGATTGTCATGTGGTTAATTATTTAGAAACTGTTGTCCTCAGACTTAATCTATATCCAACCTGGCTTTTAAAAGGGATGGGGCTGGGGAGAGAAAACGCTCTTTCCAAGAAAGGGGAGACACTCAGCCTCGTGGTATATGGAACAGAGGACTGTGCTAAAATACGGTGGGGCCAGCTTGGCCTTCTGACAAGACGGGGCTGCTCGGTCCTTCCTGTCCTCCAGCCACATAAAAGAAGAGAGAGGAGGGAGTCAGTCAGAGGGAGAGACATGTCTGGGCCTCGTCTCCAGCAGGAACAGCGTCTGGCCCTGGTTCACCTTCAAAGACCGTTTCTCAAGGGCTCGGTTAACTTTTATTTATCACCGTGAAAGTAGCACTCTGTACAGCACAGTTTAGAAAGTCTGTTCGCCGTAGGATGGAGGGCCACGGAGTGCCAAGTGTTCATCCTGAGTGGTCCGGCACGTGGTATCGGCATCATGGCGCCACCCTAGGTCATGTCGGGTGGTGTCCTAACCTGAATGGGACAGAGGCAGCCGCAACGGGGAGGCCAAGGCAATGCAGGGAAGGAGGAAAGAGGGGTGGAAAGCAACAGGAGGACTGGGGAGATGTGGCCTAGAGGGTTTCCTTTTCCTAGACACTAGTGCCTCTTTTTCAGCCCAGTTAGGATGCGAGGAACCATCTTTGAACCTCCAAGTCCGTTAAAACAACAAGCACTTATGTAAACACTTCTTGTTATTAAATGACCTGATTATGAACTCAACTGTGTCCCGCACTAAAGACAGTTTAGGAAAACGATTTAGCTTGCAGGTACGGCTTCATAGCGTTCAGACAGGATGGTGGTTATGTGCAGAGGGGAGGCAGTTTGCCATTCCTTGGCTTAAATAACTGAACACAGAAAGATGCATTCTGGATATTGCATGTGGCAACGGCTTCTCTACACACACAAATCTGAACAAAAGTCACTTACATCGTGATTCTCCGTGTCTATCAGGAAAAGGGACGATTAAATAGGTACAGTTTTCCTTTGCTATGCACAAATGTCAATGAGGATTAAAGATAAAAATCCTCTTAGTGACAGAAAATTCCAGCTTTATCTTCAGCTTGGTGATGCTAACCTGAATGTTGCCGAGGAACTCTGAACAGTTCCCCTGTTCTCGCTGAGGATTTTTTTTTTCCAGATAGGAAATTTTTTTCCAGATCTAAACCAATTACAGGGACTATCTTTAACTGAAATGAGCAATTTAAATGTTTGTTTTTTATGGAGCTTACTCTTCTGGCTACCTTGGATGAAATATGTGATCTCTGAATCCCAGAGTCCTTGTCTGCAAAGGGAAAAAAAATAGTTATCTTCCTAGAGTGTTGTGAGGATGAAAAGAGATAACATACATATATAAAGTCCCTGGAGCCCTCTAAAAACTAAATATATGGTTGCTTTCATTAATCTTTTATTACCAAAAGGTACAAGAATACCTTATTTTTGAGAGAGAGCCAGAGAGCCAGAGATCGATCAGGGGAAGGGCAGAGAGAGAGGGAGACACAGAATCGGAAGCAGGCTCCCGGCTCTGAGCTACCAGCACAGAGCCCGAAGGGGGGCTTGAACTCACAAACTAGGAGATCATGATCTGAGCCGAGGTGGAATGCTTCATCAACCGAGCCGCCCACGCGCCCCTCTCTTTTGCTGTTTTCACATGCCATCTATTTTCTTTTTCATTCTTAACCATTGGCAGATGGCAATAATTCATGTTAAAATCCTCTTAAAGATCTGCATGCCTAAGTGATTCACATACATACACATATATTCACATACAAATATATATGTGTATATGTATAGATACAGAAAATCACATATGTAGGGAAAATATTATATATTCAGGTCAACTGGATGGACTGTGCCCAGATTGTTTTTGTTCTCCGCTGGTCTGATGATTCCAAACATGGGAAATCTGAAATAATTGTGTTTTAATTTTTTTTTCCTTCCTTCCCCCCCCTTTTTTTTTTTGCAAAAAGAAAGGCTTCACCAGAATGCTATTCAAATGCAAAAAACAAAGGAGAGAGAAAACCAACTATACTTATGGTAGGTTTACCTAGCTAACTTAGATGGTTTCCACAAACACTGAAACAGCAGTAGAGCAGGAAAAAAATAACTGAGTATCTCCATAAAATGGTAAATCTTGGGGCGCCTGGGTGGCTCAGTCGGTTAAGCGACCGACTTCGCCTCAGGTCATGATATCATGGTCCGTGAGTTCCAGCCCCGCGTCGGGCTCTGTGCTGACGGCTCAGAGCCTGGAGCCTGTTTCCGATCCTGTGTCTCCCTCTCTCTCTGGCCCTCCCCCGTTCATGCTCTGTCTCTCTCTCTCTCAAAAATAAATAAATGTTAAAAAAAATTAAAAAAAAAAAAAGGTAAATCTTCCTCTCTCTCCCTCTGGCATTTGGTGGTTTCTAATTTTCTTATACACAAGCAAGAAGAACCAATTAATGAGTGTCTTACCTTTCATTGCAAAGCCACTCTCTGAAATTCCTAATCAACACTTACACAGTTAAATCATCTTAGAAGTAACTTGACTTCAAATTTATTCAAGAACTTAACAAATCTCAAAGATAAACAGAACACTTTATTATAAAACTTATAAAATAATTAAATATTACACATATATTTTGACTTTTCTCTATAACCCATTGTTTTATTCATCATTTTTCCTCAGAATTAATATCACTTAGAGAAGCAAGTGAGAACACATAAGAATAGGCTATTAATAAATTAATTTTTCCATAAAATAATAAAATGATCATTATATAAAGAAATGAATAATTTGCAATTTTTCAGAGGGCAAGGGGGTGGCGATGTGGAACTATATTTTTTTGATAATAAAATGGCTGCTACTCTAGGCCAAGCCAAGTGGTTTGAGAGACTATTCAATCATTATTTCTCTGAGATTCATGAAGGCATGATTTTAATTAGAATGGGAACGAAGGATGTTCTAAATTTAACAAACCACTGTCTAGTTGGTGGTGCTGAGCTGGCAAACCCTGTTTGAATTGAGACTTGAGAAAGCAGTAAAATTGGGTTCCATTCATCAAAGAAACTGAGGAATAGCGTGGAATTATATAAATATGCCCTTTTTAACCACATCTCAAAAAATTTCAGAAGGACTCCATCTTGTAAGTCACTTTGGTTTTGGCAAAATAGTGTGGTATTTTCCAACTGAGAACAATTTTAAGCTCATTAATGCCTATCAACAGCTGGCTTCCGATGACTGAAAATATCATCTGTAAGATTACAAAATATTCGTATTTATTGAAGGGCCTTGGCTTAGGATTTATTAATATTAACATCGCAAGAAGACAGATGGGTTTTCTATTGCCACTCTTTTCTTGTTGTTAACTAAATCTTAGGGAAATTTTAAACATGACAGTTGGCAGGAGAAAAACCACAAGTGGTCTTTCATTTTCCAAGCAGCCCTGATGATATGTAGGGAACATTATAAATGATGGTCTAACGCTGTGATTTTGCTACTTAGCTCCTCCTCGCTTTTTACCAGAAATGAACACCTCACCAATTCTGATTCCCAAAGAGCAGACTTGAGGCTCCGTGTCCTTGTTCAGCTAGCACCAAGAGTGATGAGGTTCATATAATGTGTAGGACGTCAACGTTGGCCTTTGATGGAAGTTTTGTGGGTTTTTTTTTTTTTTCAGATTGTAATTTCAATTCAACGGAGATCTTCTTAAATAGTCCAAGTTGCCCTGTTTTCAGAATATTCCTCAGAACACTTTTCAAGTTGTAAATTTTAGTCTTGGAGACTCTCTGTAAGCAGGATATACTTTGAACAAAATAATAAAAACAACACACGCACACTGAATAAACATAACGTGAAGCTTGTTGGTCCAGCAGCAAGCACAGTTATGAGCACCATTTGGCTTCCTGTGTAACCGAGTTCGGGCTGGCCACAGCGTCCATCCAACCGTGAGCTCCGAATAACGGTTAAGCAAGGTGTTCCATCCGTATTTGATTGCTCCAAGGCTCAGTCTTGAATCTAAGTCTTCAAGAACCGTTTCGAAACAGATGTCCTTGCCATGGAACACTCTAAAGTTCAAGGGCGGTGGGGGGGGGGGCTGTCTCTCCCAGAGTTGACCAGATTCTTCGTCAAAATTAAAAGGTGACGTATCTCAATGGGACTCATCACCTCTTTCCTGTAACAGTGCAAATCAAAAACGTTCCTTTGTCATTTCTCTTGGAAGTCAGATGGGTCCTCGCTTCCCATCTTCAAGTGCTTCGGAGTACCGTGTGCTTTGGGGACTTGGAGAAGGAGCCTGTCTCTTCTTGAGAGCCAGCTCCCCGGGGGCTGCTGTAGCCATGCAGGAGTGGTCTGCAGGGTTCAGCTTTCGAGCTCCGGAGGTGAGAGGTGAGACCCTGGCCCTGCGGTGTTAGGGAGGGCGTCAAGGTCAGCTCTTCCTCGTGCAGGATTTGCAGCACTGATGACCGTGAAATTTGTGGTTGCAGATGCCATGTTGAGGAACGAGGTGACACCAGCTGAAGAAATCTACACAGGATGGATCTTCTGCAGTGAGGAAAAAAAAAATTTAACACCGTCAAAGAGAGCTTAGCCTTTTTCCTAAGGTGAGGGCCCGCATGCCTTTTGTCTCTGAATGGTTCTGCTGGTTATACACTGGGATTTGGCTGGGAGGGTAGGAGAAGCGGGATTAAGACATCAAAAGGGGCTGTGACCATTAGCTAAATGTTGGGGGGGGGGGGGATGGGTGTTTAAAAAAAAGCCACGCCCTTTCCAGCCAGAGATTCATGGCTGATCCTTCCCAGTAGCCTGGGAGCTACATGTTGCATCCCTACAACAGTGTGTTAGGGGTTGGGCTGCGATTTGGTCTAATACACCGGGAGTCAGCACACCTGGATTTGAGGCCCAGCTGCAACACTCTGTGGATTTAAACAAATCCCACAGCCAAGTTGCAGTTAAGTGAACTGAAGTTAACACCAGTCCTTTCTGACGTCTTTTGTTAACCCGTGTGATTAGGGGCTGGACGGAGCACACTGGGCATCGGGGATTCCCAACCAGAAGGGCCGTGTCCATTTTAGGGTCAGGGCCTCGCTGTTGTACTGGATTCTCAAGGAGTTTTGACTTGAAAAAAGTATTTATGGTCTACCCTATACACAAAGAAGCCTTTTCCTTCATGGTTCGAAGTGTTTTCCCCTTCCTCCATGCCAGGCTTGAGAGACACCTGGCCCCAAGCCCCACACTGCCCATAGGTACCCACCCACGTCCCTTCCACGTTCCTCCTTCAACGGCTCTGCTCTGGGCCCTGGGACATGGCACGCAATGCTCTCCGTTCTCCTGTTTCTTTTTCCCATTGCTCCCGATTTGTATCCTGTCTCCCTGTGATTCAGCACTGCCTACACCTCCTTCCCCATGCCTTCATTCCTCTGCCTAAAATGCACCCACTGGACCCCCATCCCTTAGTCGCCCTGCTGATCCTTTGAAAATGTATGTCGGGTCATGCCGGGTCTCAGCCCTAAACTCTCCCTTTGGCCCCTCTGTCCACCCGGAATGAAAGGTTTAGTCCTTTCGATGGCCGACAACTGGTCTCTCCACTAACACTTGACCTCCTCTTCCTCCTCTCTTCCCTCCCTGACACGGGCCACCTGGCTCATGGCCCATCATGCCAGGAAAAATGTGGTTTCTCCCAGGATCCCAAGTCTCTGCTCAAAGGTCACTGACAGTAGGGCCTTCCCAGAGTCCCTCTTACAAGCAGCAAGCTCTGTGGCCTCCCAGAGAGCCCTCCCTACTCCTTACCTTGCTTTATTTTTCTCCAGTGATCTATGAGCACTCATCATATCCTGTGCCTCCCTATTGTCTGGCTCCTCTCTAGAATGTAAAATCCTTGAGAGCAGAGATTTTGCCTACTGTTTTCATTACTTTATTCCCAAGGCTTAGTGCCTGTCACAGAGTAGCTGCTCAAGAAGTATTTGTTGAACAAATTGGTTTTTACAGCTGAAACAACCAGTTCAAAGTCTCAGCTTGGCTATAAAGGAGAAGTAGCAGTGAATTTTTTTTTTTTTTTTTTCCTTTTCAATAACTCCTGGATAGATCTTGAAGGTAGAGTCTAGAGAATTTTCTGGCAGGCTGGTAAAGGTACGAGAGCAAAAAGAAGAATCAAGAATGGAGATAAGCGTTTTGCCCTGAGCGTCTAGAAGAATGGTCATAGGTACCGACACGGGGCCACCAGGGGTGGGGGAGGGGTGCTGCTGGTAGAAGGGTGTGGCGTCTATTACCTGAGGGATCCAAGTCAGACATGAGATGAAGACCCATCCAAACTCTGTTTGCCTATATGTACACATATAGATGTAGCTACATCCATTATTTTAAATATATACTTGTACAGTATCTTATACCCCAATCAATTAGCATGGAGCCCGTTCAATCGCAATGCACATCTGAGGCAGCTTCTGTTTCAGTTGCAGAGCCACGGCATCAGGACCAAAACAGGCCACTAAAACCACGGTCCTAACTGCACGGTTTATGCACCCCTCTTGGGAGAAGAATGGGATTTCAGCAGGCTTCTGCAGCTCGTGCTATAAGCTCAAGGTATGTCCGGAAGCAGAAGTGGGGCGTATCACTGTGCCGTCGCTATGAGCCCTGTGTTTCATTACGGTTGGGATATTGATCACTAATCGCTGGTTATCTGAGCTGTTAATCAGTCAGGTATTTTATTTATGCAGAGGATGACCTTGGTGCCCTCTTTCTTTGCCTCCCATCCTTCATGCCAACAACTGACAAATATTATGAGCTCATCTCCTGGCACCCCACCTCCCACGAGTGCCACTGCTCCAGTGGGAACTTCTCCCGAACAAGAGTAGACAGGTCCTCCTTCGGCCCTGGGCCCTGTGCTCTTTCTTCTCTGGGTAACTGCGGGCGATCCTCCCACAAGTCAGATCCCACTGCTTCTGGGCTTGAAGTTCAGTATCGGCTTCCGCCTCAGTTGGAGTTAAATCTCAAGCCCTTCCAATGACTGACAAGGCTTCCAGGACAAGCTTCAGCTAATCACCTCACTCCTGTCTGCTTTCTACATCCTACTCCAGGTGTCTTGCTGTCCCTGATCAGATTCACACATTGCTGCCTCAGGGCCTTTGCATGCGCTCTCCCCGCTGACAGGAACACTATCCTTCTAGATACACACCTAGCTCACCTGCCCAAATATCGCATCATCCAGGTGGCCTTGCGTGACAAGCCCATCTAAACGGGTTTTCCCTCCTCCTCCTCCTCACCCCCAGTCATTCTTGTGCTCCATACTCTGCTTAAGTTTTATTTTCTACTTTACCATCTGACATTGTATACTTACTGGTTTGTTGTCTGTTTCCAGATAGGAGAGTGGAAGCTTTGCCCATTCTGTTCATCATTCTATCTACAATCAGACACCAGAACAGTTCCTGGTTCACAGTAAATGTGAAAAACTCTCCATAATATCTTAAGGTAGCAGCATTTCTCCATTTTATAAATAGCTCAGAAAGTTTAAAACCTTGCCCATGGGTGTGCATGGCCCATCATGGGAGTCTCAGAGGAGGTTCAAAGTATTACCATTTCTTTCCTTGGTCACCATGAATTTACTTACCGCCCACTAATTTTTTTTTCCTTTTTAAAAATTTTAATTTTAGTTAGTAAACATACAGTACAATATTGGTTTTAGGAGTAGAAGTCAGTGATTCATCACTTAGCTACAAGGCCCAGTGCCCTCCTTAAAGCCCATCCCCTCCCACCTCCCTCCATCCACCCATAGTCGGTTCCCTATCGTGAAACATCTCTTGTGGTTGGTTTCCCTCTCTTCTCTTCCCACCCTCTTTGCATATGTTCATCTGTTTTGTTTCTTAAATTCCACATGTGAGTGAAATCATATGGTATTTCTTTCTCTCACTGACTTACTTTGTTGGAAATTCACTGCCAGAAGACACACTCAAATTCCACCCATGGTCACCCTGCCAGTGATTTAAGAAGGAAGATGAACCGGGCAGTACTTTGGGCATGGCACTCTCCCTGGGGGAGGCAGGAGGTGGCCTCCAACTTTGTAAAACCATAGGCCACAACCGTGGCCAAGAAGAAACACCTAGACTTGCGTCTTTCATACCTGCCTTCTTACTTGACTCCTCTTGCCTAGAGAGACCTGATTTAGTGCAGAGGCAAGGAGAGAGGTCCTTCTAATAAACCTTTTTCATACCGTCATCTATCACGGCCCCCATCCCTGCAACCCATGAAGAACCGACCTCCATCATAACACTGGTAAACACTCCCCTTAGATTTCTTGTCACAGCTTCCTCCTCCTCTGAGACACTGACTCCTTGTAGCTTAAGAACAGGATGTTGCCTTGTTCTTTTGTCCCTAGAAGAATGCTACGGATATAGAGCAGGTGCTTAGTGACCCAGCTTTGAGTGAAGTAGAGAACCTCACCATGCTTGATGCATAATCTTTCTTTTAACACACGTTGAGCACCAATGGTGGGCCGGGCACGGTGCCGGATGAGTAAGATGATGACACCAAGGGCCTCCCCACTAATCTTGGACCTAACGTATGTCTTGGCTCTCCTCCCCTTGAACTCCTGCCCAGGAGAGAACTGCTGAGCGATGTGCATGATCGACCATTGTCCTTTATTCTGTCTCTGAGTACGTAAGGGGCCTGCACTTCCGATTCTGTCCGTGTGTGGGTTTGTCTGGGGCCACCTGACTAACGGGGGAGAAAGGAGGAGACAGTCTGCAAGAACAGGACTTGCTCCAAAGGTGTGTTTTTTTCCCCGTTAACCTGTCTGCTTGGAAAGCCTGCGGGTTTGTAGAAATCCAGCAAAGCCCCGGAGGTGACAGGGCTCCGAGCAGCTACTATCTTGCTAGTTTTTTCTCTGGTTGCAAGCCTCAGATAAGGAGAGCGTGCAGAGGAGGGAAACTTGATGCCCAGAGCCTGGAGCGAAGGGTCTTAGAGATAAAATGCGAAGGGATAGGGACAGGGGAGAATCTGAGTGACGGTTCTGATTCTGATTCACCACAAATTGGGAAGCACGGAGTAAGAAGTGAAGCAGTCTTGGGAAAGCTGCGGTCGGATGAAAAGCAAACTCAGCAGGCCCGTGGTGGAAAATAATTCTTTAGCACAAAGAAATCTGATTAGGGGGGAGGAACTATTCCCTGGTGTTAGATTTCTTCAAAATGAGTTGGGCTACTGAAAAAGAAGCACAGTTCACCCAGATCGTTCAATTTCCCGTTTCTCCACCAGCACACCTGCACTTCATTTAAACGGACAGTAACAAAGGAAACATCTAAGGTGGGTCCCAGGAGGAAGAATGTTCCCGGATCGTCACCCGTGTCCCCAGTTCCTGTTCATGCTTGCATTCGCACTGGTTGGTACAGTCGCTGGTGCGTGGTGGTTACTTTTTCGTTTGCTTGTTCAACTAAAACGGTTTTTAAAAACGGACTTGTGGGTGCCTGGGTGGCTCCGTGGGTTAAGCGTCCTACTTCAGCTCAGGTCATGACCACACAGTTTGTGAGTTTGAGTCGCACATCTGGCTCTGCCCTGACAGCTCGGAACCTGCCTTGGATTCTCCCTCCCCTCCCTGACTTGTGCGCACACTCTCTCGAAAATAACTTTAAAAGAAAATGGACTTGCAAGATGACTGTTTCCCCCTTTCAAAGAATAGCTAAAAAGCCTTAGCACAGAATTAGATTTTCCCTGCACGTGCATGCAAATAAGCATTTGGGGCAGGAACTGCCCCAGATCTGTGCCTCGTATGCCTCTGAGCAGCACTGTTCACAGATTGTGATGTGAATGGCGCCCCCCAGAGTTGTTCTAGGAATAAGCGGCACAAGCACGTACAATGGAGTTTTGGAAAATTCTCTGACGATTTGGTAAAAGTGACTGGAGTACAGGGCTTGTTACCTCTCTTTGCAGGAGCTGGACAGAAGTTTGTGTTACAGGCTCGTAGCACGGGAGGTTTCTGACGGAGCAGACAACTGGAGGAAGGCCGGCCCTGCTGGACGCAGTGGACCGAGCGGGTCTGGACGCCCCCTCCACAGGTCACCGTGCACTGCACAAGAAGGAAAGAGGAGGAGTCAGCAATACTTGGCTGGAGGGTGTCCTTTCTGAGGTCAGTGATGTCAAATAGAAGGGATCTCCGTGCTTCATGCCATGTCCAGGGGGCCTGCTGGCAAAATGGGAGTTGGCCAGAGACCCGTGTGTGTGCTCAAGTTCACAGTTGTTGTAACACACAGGAGCTAGGTGATCTGATTGGAATGCTGCCTATCTCGCCCCAGAGAATGTGTCTTCAGTTAAATGACTCATAAAGAAGAGAGCTTCCAGAAATACGGAAGCTGCCGTAAGAATGCAGAAACCTAGGCAACTCATCACGGTATTTAAATAATTCCAGATAATCTCTGCAGATGCAGTATTGGGGGAGAGATAGTTCAGAATTAGGACAGCAAGGAAATAATACTTCATCCAAGGAAGCTTTGGAACCATGCCCTCGGTGGCCAGCCAAATTCTGAGTTGGCACAGTGGGTGGGTGCTTCCCAGAAGTCAGTGATTTCGCTTGTTCAATTAAAAGAAAATAGATGGCTAACAAGGACTATCAACTTTTTTTAGTTCTTCCAGACACATATGGAAAGATATTTTATAACATAATATCAGGGAAAAACAAGACAGCCCTTTTACCCTGATTATTTTTTGTTTTGCTTTTAAAAATTCACTACAGGGGCGCCTGGGTGGCGCAGTCGGTTGAGCGTCCGACTTCAGCCAGGTCACGATCTCGCGGTCCGTGAGTTCGAGCCCCGCGTCAGGCTCTGGGCTGATGGCTCAGAGCCTGGAGCCTGTTTCCGATTCTGTGTCTCCCTCTCTCTCTGCCCCTCCCCCGTTCATGCTCTGTCTCTCTCTGTCCCAAAAATAAATAAACGTTGAAAAAAAAATTTTTTTTTTTAAAAAATAAAAATTCACTACATTCTTTTTCTTATTTTGTAGATAGGTAAAGTCTTCATTCTGGACAAGCATCATTATATAAACTGGTATTTGGAAGGAAAAAAACATGGGAGTGGAAAGACTGAGTTTTGGATTTTAGCACCAAATTCAAATATAGCTATATGATTATCACATCATCTAAACCAGAAGTTGGTAAACTTTTTCTGTAGAGGTCAAGATAGTCAATATGTTCACCTTTGTGGGCCATGTGGTCTTTGTTGCAACTACTCTGCCTTTGTAGCATGAAAGCAGCCATGCGCAATATGTAAACAAAAACAAGCATGACTGTGTTCTCATAAAACTTTATTTATAAGTAGTTGGTAATTGTTTGCTGATCTTTAGTCTAAATAATCTTAAGAGAATCAAATTCCAAATCTCTTGAGTAAATGGTGATAAAAACTTGAAAAAGAAGTCTACAGCAATATATAAAGTGCTAAGCATGATGTCTAGCCTATTAGAGATACACGATCATGCTACTTTCTTTTTCTCCATGGTTTAGTTCTCAGATCCTTTCCCATACACATAGGTAGACACACACATTATATATACGTATGTATGTGTGTATGTGTACTTACAAAGACATGTGGATGCATATGTATATACACACACATGCATCATTATACCTAAGTGTGTATGTATGTATACTTACAGAGACACAGATCTGTAGACGTACATTTGCCCCCACCCAACCCCCATATTTAATGATGGGGTGAGTGGTACCTCTCAAGCTGGCAAGTTCTTTGAAGGGCTATGTACATGACATCTGTTGGTTGGAGGGTGTAAGAACCCCAACACAGCTTATCTCTAAGCCTTCGCTTCCCACACCAATCCCAGCCAATCGGAACCAAACCACTGTAACCAAAGTTTCATCTAAGTCTTCTGAGATAAAGGTGCCTCTAACATCTAATGGGCTTAAGAGCTGGGTGTCCTTGCCTGAAGTGCCTAACTCTGAGCTTTCCCTGCCTCTTCTACAACATAGGGACAGAAATCCCCATGAACAAGGCTGTTTGACAAATGGTAGCCATTATCACATTATTAGAAACATGACCTAAAAACCAAAGAAGTCAAGATGCTGAGCACTGTTTCTAAAATACAGAAGATTTGGGACACCTGGGTGGCTCATTAGGTTATGCGTCCAACTCTTGATTTTGGCCCAGGTCATGATCTCATGGTTCATGAGTTTGATCCCTGCATCAGGCTCTGAGCTGACAGCACAGAGACTTCTTGGGATTCCCTCCCTCTCTCTCTCTCAAAATAAAATACAGAAGACTTTAGTGAGGCAGCAGCAATAGTGAACATTTAGCACCATGGGACAAGCCCAGTATAAATATTTTATATTAGGTACTCACGAAAAACATTAGCTCTGCAAGATATTGTCATCTTGATTTTCTAGATGTGAAAGCCAGAGCTCACAGATTATGGAAGCGGCCCAGGACCACACAGGTGGTGGAGCTGGCCAAAGATCACAAACTGTTTTGCCTCCAGAACTTGAGTTTCTGTTCTTTCCCTTTGGACAGGTCCCTAACAGCAACGGTCGGTGGGCTCCCTCCTTTCTGGGAATCTCACTTAAACATACATCTCCTTAACCTGGGTGCGCTTACCTGCTGCCACGGCGATGAATACCATCCAGCTGCCATACTGAACTCAGGACGGGCTGGACAAGCCCCCCGCTGGCAGGTTTCTTCCAGGTCGAGAATTGGTTTCTTAATATGGCGGCACCTTCGCTCCGGGAAAGTGATCAGCTTTCCCTGGAAGGCCTTCTCACTGCATTTCATCTCCCTCTTCCTCACGCCCAAACCACAGGTCATCGAACACTAGAAGCCAGGACAAAAAGGCATTAAGTATGTGGAGCTCCACGGTCAAGTCTGCCAAGCAGACGAGCCACCCATGTGACATTCTGGGATGGGATTATGACAGGTCAACCACACACACTCAAGGATCCTAAAGATAAAGCCACCCCATCCCTCATACTAGAGAATGTGGGCTAACTGTCCCAAAGTTTCAGAGCTCATCACCACGCGACCCATATGGATGTCGGATTGACTCCTAGAGAAAGACTAGATGGGCAGAGGATGGGCACAGGGGCTCTGTGTAGTGTTCATGTGGATGGCCACATGTGGGGTGTGTCATCTATGGGTCCAGGTCTACCTCAGGCCTCTCTGAAGACGTGGAGTCGGTGACAAGGAGGCGGGGCACAGAGATGAGGGTTCGAGAAGGCTGAGTGGGAAGAACCACTCACTCGTCCTATACTTGACCCTGCCTCTCACTTGACTGCCCTGCAGCCTGAAGAGGTGTTACAGGAAAAAGAGAAGGATGAGGGCTGATGAAGGATGAGAAGCCTTGTTTCAAGTATGTGAAATGGCATTGTGGGATAACACAGGGAGCCTTGATGAAAGGAAGCGGTACGGATCGGTGTCCTTACAACTTGGTGTAACTATCCTAAGCCACGAAGGACACTGAACTTCACACAACAGCTCCGTGAGGGAGGGGCGACTGTTGGCCCCACTGTGTGGACGCTGAAGCCAGGCTCTGCCATGTTGAGTGGCTGGGCCAGGGTCACCCCCGGAGCAAATACTGAGGGCTGCGTGCAAATGGGGGACATCTGATTTACCCCTGCATTTAGCCATTAGGCGATACTGTTTCTTAACGAAAATGGATGGGAAGACGAGTGGAGGCACTGTTATGTGTATGACTATATACATGGAATAAAAGGGCACCAATGGGCTGGACCCCCTGCCTCTACTGTACCCTACCATCCCCACTGTTGACCTTATCTCATCCTCAGCCTCTGTCTTCCTCACCATACTGCCATCTCCTCCACAGCAGAGACCTTGGCCCTTCAGGTACGGACGGAAACTTCAGGCTTGGCGTCTTTCCTCATGTTGCCTACGTCTGTGCGTGCGCCCGAGTTTCCCCAGCCAGAAACCCAGGAGACTTCTATCTTCACCGGTCTACCTCCCCTCCACCCACAGATGCCTGAAGGTGGCAATGGCCTCCGTAGGAACTCTCGAAGATTCTGCTTCTCTCCACCCCTGGAATGCTCTCATCCTGCGTCCCGATTACAGCAACCTCCCCACGAGCGCCTTGCCTGCCCCTTGGGCGGCCTGCCTTGCATCATGTTATTCTACTTCATTCAAAGTTCTAAGTGGCCCTGACACTGGGGTCCTGATGAAGCTTTCAGCTTCCACCCCACCTTCATCCTGTCATACCGGCTGTGTTATCTTCTCTCCCCTCTCCCTCCTTTGGGGTGTGCCCTCCATTGGGAACAACCTTCCCCCAACCCCACCCTTGCCCAATTCTTGCTCATCCTTCAGACTCATGCTCCCTGGAAAGTCTCTTCTGACAAGGACTCCTCCTGGCGGAAGGGCTGGGGGACCCCCAAGCTCTCCCAGTGGAATTACAGACCCCCCCACTACAGCACTCTGCATACCCTATCTGCGGTGCCATAAACGCCCGGGCACAGGCCTGTTCCATGCGGTGGGTGCTTTTTCAGGATTTGCCGAAGAGTCGGAGGGAAGAATGGATAATGAGTAGGCACCTGTGCTATGTGTGTGGAACAGGAAGAAGGTTTGATCATCTGGGTGCTGGTGGGTGAGCTGAATATATACAAAAACACAAACCCAGAAAATAAAGAGACACCTGGGTGGTTCAGTTGGTTGAGCGTGTGATTCTTGACTTTGGCTCAGGTCATGACCTCAGGGTCATGGGACTGAGCCCCACATCGGGCTCCAAACTGAGTACTATCTCAACTCCTACCTCACTCCAGGAAGAGACAACCCACTGCAGCCGGTTGTTTTTGGGGCATCGTCCTAAGACACAGCCCTCCTGTGACTCTGGCCTCGGGGCGCTGGAGCACAGGTTCTCTGGGAGATCCTCTGCCGTCGGGGGGCTTTTGCACAGGATTTCACGTTTCCTCACCCCTCGCCCGCAGGTCTTGGAACACTAGAGGTGGAAAAACAAAGCTTATTTGCATGCTGGTTGCAAATGATTTTCTTCCAGGTGAATGCGGAGAACCTACTAGTGCAGTATTTGCAAACCTATTTTGAAGCTTTAGAACCAAATGCCCAGTGAAGGCCCTTGCAGCCAGCAGGAGGGATCTTTCCTCCGTGCAGAGGCCTTACATGCAGGTTGGCAATCGTTGTCAACAGTCTCAATGCCCAGTGGCTGCTGGTCACCCGGGTCCAGAGACGAGGTGTTCTCTTCACAGCACACATGGCCAGGTGGAGAATGGTATGTGGCCTGTTCCTTGGGAGAACCATGGTCCTGTCTGGCACAAGGCAGAATTGGTCTGGGCACCTGGCTATGGAGGATTACTGTGCTTCTGCTGAGAAGCATCATAGATATATACATACACATCTAATAGCAACCGACTGTGACATTGACAAAAATGGGTTGGGGATGTCCAGTTCTTCGTGTTCCTACTCATCAGCTGCCTCTAGGCAGGGCTCGGTGCTAACTATTGGGGAATAAACAAATAGGCACTCGGCAAATGTCTGCGAATGAATCTGCCTTTCTTGACCTTCCTAAGAACCCTGTGACATAGACAAGGTGGGGAACAGTCTCCTTGCTTTCAGATGAGTACTTAAAAAACTTCCAAGGTCACTTAGAAGGTGTTGGCTCCAGGTCAGGTCTGCCCTCAAGGGACATGTCCCCTCCCCAGCCTTCTTTTCTGCTCAGAAGAGCCATATGAGATGCGCCTCTCTTGCCTTGGCTCTTTGTCAATATGTAAACATCTGGGCACAATTCCAAGCCTGTTCAGAGGATCAACATGACTTCTGGCTCTTCACATTCTTCAGGGAGACGGATGCTGATGGTACTCTCATCATCTGCAAACTACAGCAGCAGGACCCATCCATGCCATGCCTCCCATGTGATGGTGCATCTTCCTCTTAGGTTTTCAGTTGTTTTTTTTTTTTTGTTTTTGTTTTTGGGTTTTTTTTTAGAATGGGTTTCCAGAGACCTGGTCTCTAAGAGGAGGACAGGGTGCAGTAATAAATTCAGAAGGACTCCTTCCAAATTAGTCATGAAGATGTTCTCAACACATGCGCTCTTAGCAAACAACCAACCAAGCAAACAAACCTAAGGAAATAAAATACTCTCTCAAAATATTTCTATGTCAAATGTGGGGCAAATTCTGAACTAAAGCTCCTTTTGGGGATGTCCCATTTGGAACTGTTAGTTCCCCATTTCTTGTCCCTGTGCCCACCATACACATTAGGCTAAAACAGCCCTTGAATGTTCTTCTTGTAAACTGTACCTCCTTATCTGCAAAGAATGAGACCAGACATAATACCGTATCCTATTTAGACTTGCCTTCTGCTATCAGTCAATACATTCCTTCATTTTAAAGCATATCTACACATGCTCAAAGATATCCTTTCCCACCGCTAGCTCCTTACTCCCTTAACAGACAGAGTTGTAACATTTTTAAAAATCCCATGTTCTATAATTACAAAAAGTCTCAGTCTGAACTCTGGGGGGGATTTGCGAGTACACGGCTATACTTTATCAGAAATCAATACTCCAGGATAATGCACTGAAGGAAAGCATGGTAGAAATGTGGTCCTAGACTTCTACCTGGCTTCATTGTTCAGGCAACGAAAGCGCTGCATCTTCTTGATTATTCCATAAAATTGGCTTGACATCCGTGGTTTAGCAGAGACTGGGCTGCTGTCCCCGACAGTGTGGGATGTTTATCTCTATCAAGTAGATGCCGGTAGCATCATTCTCCCAAGTTGGGACAGTCAAAGATGCTTCCAGACGCTGTGCCTGAGGGGACCTTTGGCAAACTGAGCCCCCACTGAGCACTTCTGACTTGTGAATGGCCGGTGGCTCTAAGCCTCGGCTGATTTCATGATTTTCCACCTTTCACTGAGAGTTTGTGACAATAGGAAATTTTATGCCTGACTCCCCTCTGTATCCCTCTAACCCCGCGACTCTTCCCCACCAAGCAAGAGTTGAATATTCTTCCTACGCCACCTTCTTTGTATCTGCATTTTCCATGTGCTTTGGAGAAATCAGTAGCCATTTTGTCTGCCAGTCCACGGACACTCCAATCCTTTCCAGCTGTGCTCTACAGCCTAGCCTGAGCACCCCCCGTACTCTACTCTCTAGACTTCTAAGTAAGACCTTAAGATGTTGTGCATGGGTTCCTAATCTACAGGATGCAGAGAAATCACAAAAAACACAAATGAGAATGCCTCATCACGCTAACTCAGTGTGATGCCCAGGAAAGCATAAAAGCTGAGTGCCTCGTGGGGGAGCCAACACCCCTGTTTTTGCCACTTTCTTTGTCCACAGGAAACAAGACTCATGACTCCAACTCGTGCCCACTTACCTGAGACCAGGGTCCAAGGCTCCATTCTGGAGGGCAGGCATGACTGTTGCAGACTCGCACCTGAGTGGGCGTGCTCACTGGGCAGAGAGAATGTAACACTGCTTCCTCCTTCTGGAACGGCTTCTTCTGGACACACTGGATCTTCCTGCTCTGCTGGCCCCCCGCACATGACCTGCTGCACACGCTCCATTCGCCTGGCTTCCAGCTTGCAGTGAAAAACGACATGACTTCCAATGAAGCTAAGATTCTGGACCATCCCTTCCAAAGCAGTTACCGCCTAAGATTTAACCGCCTGATAAAAGTCTTCCATCAATTTTAGAACCCGTAAGGGCAATTCAGAATAATTCTTCTTCCACAGGTTTTGAAGCCTATGCTAGTGTGGCCCAGGGATAGGGAGTCACATGAAATCACAACACGCTTTTGGGCAAAAACACATTCCTGCCCTTGGCAAGGGGAGAGACGTGTACCCTTTGGAGAGCCGAACAATTCATTCATTCAGCCAAGTCTACTGGGGTCTTCCCTTTGTGCCAAGGACTCTCCTAAGCATCAGGCTTGGAAAAATGAACGAGGCAATGTTGTTTCCATTAAGGAGCCTACAACACAGTGATGAGGTGGACATGTGAACAAAGACAGTACTATGTGACACTCACCACAAGAGAAATTAATACAAAGTACAGCAGTTAAACTAAGGGAAGAGCGATTAACGAGAGGGGGAAGGGGTGGGACGGGAGGGGGAAGGGGGGTTGGGGGAGGGGAGGGAGGAGGTGTGCACAAGCATCACACATGCGTGCAGGAGACAGGGGCACATTCAGAGGTGGCCATTTCTAAGTACACACTTCCCCCAACTAACTTTTCTGGCTACTCTTAAACTTTATGAATGCTTGAGAGACATAACCTTGTGTTCTTTATTGAAAGATTGCCGTGGGGCGCTTGTGGGTTGCTGCTATAAGCATCTGATTCTGATTCGCCCAGGTCATGATCTCACAGTTGGTCAGTTCGAGACCCACATCGGGCTCTGTGGGGACAGCTAGGGATGTCACTTGATCTTCTTCTTCTTTCTTTTTCCTCTATGCCCCTCCCTGCATTCCTCTCTCTCAAAATAAATAAAAATAGACTTAAAAAAAAAAAAAGAAAGATTGCCAGATCACTTTTATCACAGCTGAGACTTGGTGTGAATTTGAAGGGTGATGCACTGAAACTAGTAACCTTTCCGATTACTGCATTCGACTAATTGATATTCTAGGATTTGAAGGCCTGGCATAAAAAAGATCCGCGAGAGAAGATCTTACACATTTCAGTCACAGGAGCGCTGTCTAAAACTGATGTGGGCTTACCAGTGTTCTAAATTTCATTTCCAGAAACAAACCATCACTGAGGTCAAATAACGTTTCTGTTTTACCTTTGCCTCTCTGCCACATTTACTAGTCCTGTAATGTTCTCCTCTGGTTTCTCCCACCAGCCTGATGCGTGAAATTAAAAACCTTCCCTTCAGTCCAGAGAATTTAGCACATGAGTTCTAGGTGACACGTGTTCTAAAACACTGCATAATCCCTATTAGCTTATTTAAAGAAAGAGAATCCAAAATAAAATAATTCCTTATTTGTAGAATTATTTGCATCTTGTAGGACGTAAAGAAAACACGCCTATTAGGAAATTATTAGTTTCAGCATTCTCCTATAAAGATGGGATTTTCGTCTACCCGATTCAAGTTTTTCCCTCATGCGGCAAATATGGTGAGTCTGTAAAAGTATGGAAACAGCACAACACAGGTGGACTTTCCTCATGACCTTCATGGTTGTGCACACGTGGGCCCTAGGCTCCCTCTCCATCTGTCCTCAGTCCCTCTGAACCCTACCTCAAAGCCCAGCTTCTAACACCGTCCATTTCCCCCTGGCTGCGTTTTCTATTCATAAGACCTCACAGCCCGTATCTCACTGCATCTCAATTATTTCCTTACGCTCCCAGTTCTTGCGTTACATTATGGGTTCCCTGATGGGAGGAGCTACAATTTCTCCAGATCCAGCCTGGCCTCCAGTCAGTGCCTATGACATGGTTGTTATGTGGGAAAACAACAGAGTTAGACTGGATGAACTCCTCTGTCCTTGTAACTCGAACAGTCTAAGACCTCATTGCCAGTGTATCTCTGGGGAAAAACAGTCACCGAGGGTCCCATTATTCCAACAGAAAACATAAAGCTATAAATGATACGGTGGAGAAGAAAGGAACAGAGCAGAAGATCCTGCCCATTACATCACTCTAATCCTGCAGAGCCACTGGGAGGGCTGTTCTGCTTTTAAATAGCTAGTAAACTGGTCACTGCAGAGTGGAATTTCTACACGTGGCCATCACGGAAGTTCTAGAAGTCAGGCATGAGCAAGGCTCTCTCCCTTTTCACAGATGTACATATGAATGGGGTCCTTTTTTTTGCTTGGCAGAAATGACCAACAATGGGAAGTAGGCTTAAAATCAGAAAACATCAGCACGCCATTCAAGCAAACTCACACGTCCTACGCACACAAATACACGCACACCATCTAAAGACGACACCTTACTCCACAAGGATCAATAACACTGTCTGGTAACCATGTCTTATTAGCAAAATGGGGAAAAAAAAAATCCATGGAAGCCCACCAAATTTCTTTCTACTCTTGGTGTTCAGGATACAGCTGGTTCCAGATTCTGTGAGAAAAACTAGGTTGACACATGGGCATATGGGATTGGTGAATAGCTGAAGCCCGAAACAATTATGACAAACGTGCTCTTACAAGGGAAAAATATATGTACGTGTATGAAAAGATTGTGCAATATAATTGCATCACCGCAGAGCAAACACTACTTATTAAGATGATCTGAAACATTAGTGAACACAACGCTGCTTTAGAAGAAACTCTGTCAATTCTCTATAAATACATTTGGCAGAAGATAAGTCACACAAAAGACTCCATTCGGCTGGGAAGATTACTTAAAATTAGCGTCCAAACAATAGTGTGGCTAAAATCCATCCAAAAAACAAACCCACCGAGATCCCCATAGAGTTCCATCATCAGAAGTGGATTACCACTTGGCCTCTACCCTTTCTTTTTATTTTGTGACTTGCTACTGTGTAATTTGCATTTGGGGTTTCATGGTCTGCATAGTATTATGATTGTTAAATTCTTGGATGACTATATGAAAGTTAAACACACAACCACATGTAAATTCAACCAATATAGGACTTAGTGTTATTTAAGTATCTGTTTTAGTTCAGAGGGGTCTCTATGTAAAGATTTAAAAAGAAAAATGAAAGACACCTTTAAATCCCAGGGTTAGGTTCGTACAGCCAGAGTTAAAATGCATGTCTAAGGCAAACTTGTGTCTTTCGAGTTACACATTTTCACCTCAAATGTCCTGTTTTCCTCTGTCACTTTTTTGGGCACTCTGTCTCTCCCTGAGTCACTTTTGATCAGAAGGACCGGCAGTGGGTTTCAATTTTCTCATATCAACAATAAGAAAATACAAGTACAAACATAGCCAGAAAGACATTTCCAGATGACTTACTAAGCAGGGCAGGAGAAAGCATTGCATATTTTGGGTTCAGTTGCTGGCTTGGTTCTTGCGTTGCAGAAGGAGGAACTGACTTGAGTGTTTTGATCTCGTAAGCAAATGGCCTTTACGCTTATGTAACCTAATAAGACATCAGAAGTTACAACGTGAAAATCACAGATAACCGGTTCGATTTCATTTCCATGTTTAGCTTCTGACTTACCAGGATTCTGATGTTGAACTCAAGGTATGGAATCCAAATACTGCATGACAACACCTCCTTTTGATAAAATCTGCAACTCATTTGAATCCCATTCTCCCCCACCCCCCCCACCCCCCAAGATAATAGCTTTCATGTTTTAATGATTTTAATGTGTAGCTTCTTGGGTTTTAAGACTGGTGCGGATTCCCGAACCATGAAGTGATAAATACCACCTTTTGGGGTTTTTGTTTGTTTGTTTGTTTGTTTGTTTGTTTTATTTTGTTTTGCTTTAGTGGGACCCGTTGTCTGGCTTGCAGTATCCATCTCAGGACTTCTCATCAGAGGCACATATTTTTTGTGTGAATAATTTTATCTGTCAGCTCTCCAAATACGAAGGCTGCCTCCTCTGTGAATTCGGTTTGTTTCTATTTACACGGTACGTTTCCTTACGATGGCATCCGAGAAACGATGAAAAGTCACTCTTGTGATCATGATTAGGTTAAGGTTGGTCACCAAAACCATATTGGGATTCCCTAAACTTAATTGTTTACTTCCAGAGCATGCATTCATTTGGACTCTCCTTCTCATATGCCTCAGACACATCGCGGTCTGTAAGTTTCGTGAAGGGACTGCTAAATCCAGCCAAGGGGAGAATCCCACAGCGCACTTCTCCAGCATCCTCCCTTTGGATGGACTTGTTCTCCATGAATGGAAAATGGATTGACTCTCTCTCCCTCCCAAGGAACTGTGCTCTCCCGGGAATAGCAGGAAGTTATTGCAAATGATCTCAAAGAGCATTCGGTATGTGAAAAACTGCTCATAATTTAAGTGAAAAAAAGCATAGGGTCAACAGGTATCTACGGCATGGTTTCTGCGCAGTAAAAAAAGTAGACAAAATGATCTTTGTGGCATGTGTCTGAGAACATTAAATGCACGTGTTTTTATGTTTGCATAAGAGAATAATAGAATGACACAGAGCAACATATTAACGTTGGCATTTGCAGATTAAAGGATTAGGGAAAATTATTTTTCTTCTGCACAGCATAGAGCCTTCAAAGTGTTTATTAATAAAAATTTATTACTTCTTTGGGTATTTCTCCATTTTTTTCTTTTTTCCTCAAGTATAACTAACGTACAGCAGTGTATTAGCTTCAGGTGCACAACATGAGGATTCGACAATCCTATACATTACCTGGTGCTCATCAGGATATGTGTACTCTTAATCCCCTTTATTTCTCTAAAAATGTATTCCCTTTTACTCATTTAATCTATTAAAAATAAGTATTTCCTCATGTTTTGATAATTAGCACGAGCACCTGAAGAGGTCTTACAGACGTAAGAATCTCTTCATTTTCTGTATTTCGGCTCTGTGTCTGGTTCCAAGATGCCCCACTGTGCTTAGGGCAACAGGACACAGTAGGGAGACCCACTGTATCAGATGCTCTGATAATGAGAAAAATGAATGACCAACACTGATGCTTTGGCTTCGCGGATCTCTTTATGGACTTCCATTCTTCTTCTCGAAGGGGCACGTGTGACAAAGACTGACTGACGCACAGATATGTGGTACCTTTGGATCTAGATAAAATGCTTGCCTTCGGCTCCCTGAGAGGACGGCTGTGGTTTTCCCTCCCTTAGGAGGCCGATTTCTCGGATTTAACAAACTTCCCTCCCGAGAGAGACTTTGCTGGCCTCCCCCTGGAGGGAATGGAATGACACAATGCCTGTGTTTCAGACGGATGCCTTGCAGTTGCCTTGTGTATGTTCTTCCTGGTTTTGAGCCTGCCTTCTGCAAGCCTCAGTGGGAGGTTCTTACCAACAGAGAAATCAGGGTAGGGAGAAGCTAAATTAAATACAAATAAATAGATATAAAATACAAATACAAATAAATATATACTTTGTAAATCTCCCCCCACCCCCCATAGATTTCAGATATATAACTGTTGAGTCCTGGTTATGAAGAACTTGAGTTGTGTGAGCCTTGGTTCCCTTCTACCTAGGAAAATCCTCAAACAGTACAATAACGTTTGCTTTTTTACAGGGATGGTTCCCACGGAAGGCGATTCTTCTGTTGCTTATTTACATCGTACATGTAAGATGTGTGAGATCAAAGAACCTGCTTTGAGAAAAGACTTGGAAGGTAGAATCAGGAAATCGGCTACCTCCACCGCAGGTCGCAGAGCACTGAGACTGCACCGTACTCCAGGCATGACTGTGCCTTTTTGAGGCCGGATGAGTTCCATTCATGACCTTGGGAAGTGCATACTTCCAAGCTATCCCCGGATTTTTGCCTTGCATCAGGACCTGGACAGTGTAAGATACAAACCAGAGATCAAGAGATAGGTCAGACCCCGAAATTCCAGAAATCTCACCGAACACTTTAAAGGTATCTGTATGACATTTTGACCTTAAAGTTGGCTCACACCATTGCTCCCAAGTATGTTTTATGTCGATTTTAGTCTTCCCTTGATATTTTAAAATGAGTGTGTCCATATCATCAAAGCTGGGATTTAGAGAGATGCTAAATGGAGAAACGTGACTTGACCTTTGCTCTAAGCCCACAACCCTCAACTCTAGGTATATCCATTAACAAAGCAAAAGAAAAATATTCTAATATATCGAAGGAAATAAGGTTCTATTATGAGGTCTCAACTTTCCCATTAAACTTGAAACCTAGGTAGAAACACATGTTGGTGCCTCACAGGTAATGGTTAAAACTGAATCCATGTATATACGTTTTTATGATTCCTCCTGGGCCAAAACTTCTCCTTTGTGCCAGGAGAAGCTGGACACAAGGGAGACACTCTAAAAACCATAGACTACCCCGCTTAGAGTTGCCGATCATCAACTTAGAATCCAAGCAAGATTACAATAGGATTTCCAAAGAAAATTTATTCAAAGAGAATGTGGCTCTTGGCTACACTGACTGTGTACCAGAATAAATAGATAATACAAAAACAAAACAAAACAAAACCAGGAGAAGTAAGGGTTGCTAATATGTATACTGGAATGGATTTAATCTCAAAAGGACAAGGACCTAGGATACATGAAAAGATGTTCAACATCACCGATCATCAGGGAAATGCAAACCTAAATGACAATGAGTTATCACCTCACACCTGTGGATGGCTAAAGTCAACAACCCAAGAAACAACAGGTGTTGGCGAGGATACGGAGACAGGGGAACCTTCTTGTACTATTGGTGGGAATGCAAACTGGTGTGGCTACTGTGGAAAACAGTGTGGCAGTTCCTCAAAAAATTAACAACGGAACTACCTGATGATCCAGCAATCGCACTATTAGATATTTAGCCAAAGAATACAAAAATACTACTCCAAAGGCATATGTGCACCCTAACATTTACAGTGCTTACAGTAGCCAAATTATGGAAATAGCCCAAGTGTCTACCGATTGACGAATGAACACAGAAGAAGTGGTATTTACACGTAGAATGGCCTATTACTCAGCCATAGAAAAGAATGAAATTTTGCCATTTGCAATGACATGGATGGAGCCAGAGAGTCTTACGCTAAGTGACAGAAGTCAAAGAAAGACAAATACATTATGATTTCACTCATATGTGGAATTTAAGAAACAAAACAGATGAGCAAAGGGGGAAAAAAGAGAGGGGAAACCAAGAATCAGACTCTTAACTACAGAGAACAAATTGATGGTTACCAGAAGGGAAGGGGTGGGGGGATGGGAAAAATAGGTGGTGGGGATTAAGGA